TAGTAAGGGCAGGAGCCCCTAGTAGCTTCTTGTTCCTAGTAGTAAGGGCAGGAGCCCCTAGTAGCTTCTTGTTCCTAGTAGTAAGGCCAGGAGCCCCTAGTAGCTTCTTGTTCCTAGTAGTAAGGCCAGGAGCCCCTAGTAGCTTCTTGTTCCTAGTAAGGCCAGGAGCCCCTAGTAGCTTCTTGTTCCTAGTTGTAAGGCCAGGAGCCGCTAGTAGCTTCTTGTTCCTAGTATTAAGGCCAGGAGCCCCTAGTAGCTTCTTGTTCCTACTAGTAGCTTCCGGGCCAGAGGCAGCTTCTGCAGACGCTGGTGACGGACGGAATCGCCTCGACCTCCGAGCCTGGGCAGCTTCTGTGTGTTCCGAGCCGTGCGGCGTGCTGCGTGCGGCGTGCGGGGTTCAGACGTCAACGCGGTGATAGCACCGATGTTGATAGGTCTTGGCAGTTCTGGGGCATGTTTGTTCAGAAGTTGCAAGAAAAGAACAAGAGATCACCAGGTTACAGTCCATGTTTTTCTCCTTTCATGGTAGACACCTGGTATGACGGTAACTGGTCTCCCTTGGTTTGGATGAGCAAACCAGCCTGGAGGGGGTGCGTTTGGAGGGTGTGAACATTTCAACGTCAGCCTTGAGAATTGAATACCCACTGACGAAACAGATAATCTTGAGCTCAACAAAAGGAACTATTTCTGATTGACTCGACGTCAAGATGGCCATACTAGGAACAATAACAAGGACGCCACTAGGGGTTCCTGGCCATGCTACTAGGAGCACGGACGCTACTACGGGTTCCTGGCATCGCTACTAGGAGCATTCTTGCTACTAGTAACAAGAAACTACTAGGTTGAAAGAAATGATCGGGATTCTGTGTCCCCAATGATTCTGTGGCCCTGGCCCCCACGTGCTGTGCTCGCTGAGGACAGCGTGGTGCGGGCCTTTGCGTGCGTTGGAGCAGGAGCGTGTTTTGTAATGTTCTTTTTGGAAGAGACGGCGGACAAAATACCTATTTATCGATCTGTGAAGTTCAACATCCCACTTCTTGTGCGGCAACAGCGACAGTTATGGGACCCCACGTTTTGAGAGAGGTTTGAGGTCTTTTTGGCATTGAAGACTCCGGAGTATTTGTTTGGCACCATCTTTGGATCAATGGCCTCCAACCTACTAGCGATGGCCCTCAACCTACTAGCGGCCTCCAACCTACTAGCGATGAACAAATGTTGTCCAAGCCAGTGACCAAGCCTCCTATCCGGAGCTTTCCACCATTCGGCCAAGTCGATCCGAGGTGGTGCGCGCACGGATGGATGGTTCTGCTCCGCTGGAACCACCTCGAGATGTCTCCTTCTGGGATCAGCAGGGGCCCCGAAGCTTCTTTGATTGGGTGGGAGGGTGGAGAAGGTGGCAGCATGATGCATCATCCATCAAATTCTCGATTTTGTGCCGCAAGAGCGGTTAGGACTTTGCAGGTTTGTCCAATTTTCAGTCTTTCGCGTCGAAGAGTGCTCTGTATTCGAACACCTGTTAAACCATCATCCAACATAGCCCTCAATCCCAATACTACACGAGGCCTTTGCAGGGAATGGATTCGAGACATGTCCGACATTCTCCGACTCTTTGAAGATATCACCAGACTGGTCGACGGTCGATCCCCACCATTGTCCGACTACTTGCGCCTGTCGACATCGATGGGATCAGATCGTCTGGCGACTGAGTCTGACGCGGCATCCGCCAGGATCGAAGGCGTCTATGCACGTAAGGAGGATGGCAAGTTCATGGCACGGAGCCTCAAAGCACTGAGCCTAGTAACAAGAAACTACTAGTAACAAGTGCATCGCTACTAGTAACAAGTGCATCGCTACTAGTAACAAGTGCATCGCTACTAGTAGCAAGAAGCTACGAACGGGGCGCTCCTGGCCTTACTACTAGGAGCGTTCGGAGGCGAACCGAACGTAGCGATGGCCTCCTTTTTACGAACGTACCTTCCTGTTCGTTCCATGGAGTTCTGAATTCACCAGGAATTGGCACGCGTTTGAGTGGTTTCTCTTTGTTTCAGGCCTTTCTATAGGGTGAGCTTTGAGCCAAGAACACTTGTTTTTCAACAACTAGTAGCGATGCCGATGCTCTTGCTCCTAGTAGCTTCTTGCTCCTAGTAGTATGGCCAGGAGCCCGTAGTAGCGTCCTTGCTCCGTTCCTAGCGATCCCAGGAGCCCCTAGTAGCGTCCTGAACACACGTCACGCATGGACGCCGCGAGGCTCGCTTGCAGTCGAATCTCCTCGCCTGGGCGCCGGACTTCAAATCCGACCCCTCCGAGCTTTCAGTGTCCGGCCCAAAGCAGGTGAGGTGGAGAGCACCGTGCTGTGGGCGCGAAGAAGAGAGATGTGGAGACCACCACGATCATCGAGCTGTTTTCGTGTGGGTGAGTGGTGGAATACCGAAGATGTGGATCCATGAAGCTGAGTACAGTGGTTTTAGAGTAGATGGCACAATCCCCAAAAGATGTTATAAGATATATGAAGTATAAGCTAACGGAGTCTGTGGGTATTGCAGTCTACGGAGGATCGTTTTGGGCAACGGTAGTCCTTCAGTCCTCCAGCCGCAGTGGTGGAACAGAGAATCGGAGGTCGACATCTCTCAGCCTGGGGGAGGGAGCCGGGCTGGGCGATCCAAAGCTAGTAGGTTGCCTTGTTACTTAGTACGTAGTGATCGATGGCCTCCACCCTACTAGCGATGGCTTCCCACCTACTAGCTTCTTGTTGCAAAAAGAACATTATGTTTCTATTCAGCCACAAACATGGGACTTGGGAGCTGGTGAAAAAAGGACGTCCTACTGCATGCGTGGTATGTCATATGTCAAATGGGGTGAATCAAGTCTTCTTGGTTCATTGCCCATGCCTAGGACCCATGTACACCCCTTTTGATCAGAACGAGCAATCTTTACATCCTAAAGAGTAATGATTGTTTGTCCCCCAAAAGAGGTTATATGCTATTCAACTAACTGGTTTTGCAGCACTCCGTTGATTTGTTGACTCTCCCTTCGCTCCTTGCCATGCAGATCTCCATGAGCATCGGGGGGAAGCTCTACACGGCAGAAGTGATCCCGGCTCGAGGTGAGCTTGTTTGGGACGACGGAGAGGTGTGGATCAAGAAGTGAGAGGTGTGGAAAGATCGGAAAGGCGGACGTCACATGGGGGGGCTACCCACACCGACGCAGGGGCTACCCACACCGAGTGACTGTGGTGAGCATACTGCTACCCACACCGAGTGACTGTGGTGAGCATACTGCCTAAGGGAGCTTGTCCTAGGGAAAGACACAAAATGATTTGGAGAAAGGTCGAAGTGAGTCCTACTCCGTCAGGTCTGTTTTTAGGACAGTCTGTGGGGAATATGGGGAAGTTTGGATCTTCTCTGAAGAGGCGTGGATTTGAGCAAACATCCTGCAGGAAGCTGGAGGTGAGGAGATACAAGCCAAGCAGGAAAGAATTTATTCGAGAACATGTCAACATGAAAACTTGGGGCACAACATGAGTCTCAGCACTCTGGGTTGTGAACTCTTCAATTCCGGTACCTCCCAAACGCCGCGCATCGTCTTCAAAGACCGGTCAATCTTCGGAGGCAGCTTGTTCCAGACGGCAACTTCATAGTCCTGTGGGCTTGGATTGATGCACAGATTCCCAGTCCGCACCTTTATTCGCTTAATCGTCATGATTCTTTCTGGGAATAGAACAAACCCAATATGGAAGGCCGCTTGGTGATGATCACCTCAAAGTTCTTGAAGTATCCACATCTTTCGAAGACTCGCTTGGCAGTGCAGCGAAAACAGCGGCTTGCCGCAAGCGAAGAAGCGGGATCTTGGCCAATGTGCCGGCTGCACCATTTGGAGCCTGCCACTGATCGATGGGTGTTGTTGCGCTCGGTTCCCCAAAACTGCTAAATGAGCTCCCTGACAAGGGGATCATCCATACTTCTAAGATCGTGCCATGAAGTGTCAATTCAACAGAACATGGAGAAAATGAGGCAAACCTTTTTCTGCTTTGGAGCAGTCTCGTCAGCCAGTCTCTTCATTCGCGTTTGGTGGACGGGCCGTTCGAGCTCAGGTCTCTCACAGCAGCCTGACACCTGGCACCCCACTGACAAACCCCACAGACCAACCGCCCCACAAAACCGTTTGAGGGTCTGCTTGACCGTCTTTTTGTGGGTCCAGTAAAACCGTCCAAAAGTGGCCCAGCGACGTGGAGGAAAAAAGTGGATGTCGCTGGGTCGGAGAAGACATCGCGAACGGTGGGCGGAACGCCTCCGACGTGGTGTTCGCGTCAGCGTGAGTGCTTAAACCGACCACAGACCGATCCACAGAGACAACGTGATCGATGCTCGCTTCTTCGTGTGCCAGTATATGTGCACAGAGAGAGGCATTGCTAGGATTGAACAGGATGAAACCCAGTTCGAACCAGAAACAAATGAATGTTGTCCCAAACAACCGCTTGTTATGTAAAAGATCTCCATTGCCATGTTGGAGCAACCATTGGTTTCTGTGTTCTTTGGTTTCCCGGTAGGGACGGTAGGGATGCTCAAACCAAAGCTTTCGCTCACAGCAAACATAGCAAACATTCTCCACAGACGCCCATCATGTCACCTCGAGAACCAGTTGACACGCACTTGGGGATAGATGGATTAGGTCGTAACTCCTGGAACACCACGAAGGCAGCTGTGATTCCGTCTGGAGTGAGGCCCCAATTGAGGACCTTGTTTCGAGACCGTGCATGAAGAACCACGAACTCGACTCGACCGCTGTTTGATGAAATGGCGTGAGCAGGGATCTCAGTGTTTCAGTTGATTAAGGGTAGGTTGGAGTCCCGAAGCTCCTGCTGCTTAGGGTCTGAAGGATGCATCCGTACACGGAGTCCCTACTCTGAAGACTTGTGCACGGAAGTAAAGGGGCACGGATGTCAGTTCCACCCCCCCATAGGCATTGCGAGGTGGATCGCCCAATGTAGCCGCTTCAGTGGAGGCCACGCTGCATTTGCTCATCCAGCGCGTCGTGATGCGTTAGACAAAGAGACTCCTTAAGGGTGAAATGGTCCTCGCGCATCACCCGAACCCAGGGGGGGTCTCCCGTTCATGAAAGGCCACACAACAGTTGCATCGCTCTAAAACAGGTGACAGTCGTCTTTGGGTCCACATAAGCAGATTTGCCATTGCTCCGTTCGTAGCCATGCCCTTGTTCCTAGTAGCTTCTTGTTCCTAGTAGGTTAAGGCCAGGAGCGCCCCGTTCGTAGCGTCCTTGCTACTACAGATTATACTACAGAGGGTCAAGGAAGTCTATTCAATCGGGTCCACAGGTTCGACTGGCCGGTTGGGTTCGGGTGAGAGAAATCCGACGAACCACCCAGGAACCCCTGCAGAACCTTACTGTGCAAACTCACAAGTCTTTGTGACTGCTTGCTTTGGTTCAAGAAGGCAGAATTCAGTTTTAATGTCTCGGGGTTAGCTAGGAAGGACCCGATGCAAATGTTTATTTATGTTATGATGTTGTTTGATTAATATTGTTTGCATGAGAAGTCGTGTCATTGCTTGCAATTTGCGCATGTTCCGTGACTCTAGCTAAGGGCAGAGCCAATCATTTTGTGCGATAAACAAATCTGTTGACGCAGCGGCTGACAGGACGGGGAGGCCTCTTCCCCTGTCCTGTGAGAGCTACAAACAGAGGATCTTGTTGGAAGGCTCGTATCCAAGTTGGTGCTGTGGAAGCTTCAATGGACTTTTTGCTGGATGCTTTGTCATGGAGATCATGATGGGAAGGAAGGGAGGAAGGAGGAAGGAGGCCATCGCTAGTAGCCTTCCAGGCCAGACCGCCCAGCCAGAGCGGCCGCGGTGCAGGCGGGCCGCCCCTTTCTGGCAGGCGGAGCTGACTGGGCCGTGTCATTGTGGTGCCATGGTGGGCTTAACCCTGGAGCATGGAGTGCCCAGCATTCTTCAGGAGTTTGGCCTGTGGGGGGATCACGGAGGCAAGTTGACTTCTCATTGAGTGATCCCTCCAACGTGTTCAGATTTGACGCCACCCATTTGGTTGCTGCCAGTAGAGGCCTCAAACAGCTCCACGTGGACTCTGTTCAGCTTCCAGTGGCAGGATTCTGAGCGGGCTGCCATGCGCAACGTGTGTCTGATTTGGGATGCTGCTTTGCTCTGCTATATCCGCCTCAGAACATGACTGTCGACTTGGCTACCAGAATTCGTGTATTCTGCCACTCTGCAAGCGGACTCAGGGACCTATTCCTGTCCTTCATCTGTTTGGAGGTGCTTGGGGTGGATGGTCATTTGCCTGTCAGGTGCTCCGCAATTGTTGGGCTTGAATATGGTCTCTCGGACTCTCGTGCTGTTGAGATTCACTTTGACGCAGCCCGCAAGTATGCCGTGTCACACCGATGCCCTGTTCTGACTGCTGGTGAAGGTGATGAGCTACTTCCTGTACCCCTCCTCTCCTTCCCTGAGGGATGGTGTCTTTCCCTGAGCATCGGCGATTGATTAAATCAATTAAATCATAAAAGTTCTTATTGATGTTGATTAGTGATTTATCTTTGATGTAACCAACAAACATGATTTGTCCAGTGATTCTGCTATTGAATCTGCCCCTGGTATCTTGGCCCCTGACATTTTGCATGGGCAGCATTTTGTCTTCAAGGTGTGCTAGTTGAGAAAAGGAGTTCATCCAAGGGTTGGTTTCTGCTTTTCCTTGGCACAGAGAAAATGCAGGGTGGCCATGGAAAAGGAGGTGCTAGGCATTTTGCAAAGCCACAAACAGATGTTTGCATTTTGAAGAGGGAGCTTGACAACACAAGCTTCTGATACAAAGCCTTGGCGCCTATGAATCTGTGTCAAGAAAACCAGTCTGCTAAACCCAAGGGGCTCCCCCGTGTCATTGACCTAGTGGCTGGGCTGAGCCTTCTATAAAGTGCACCAAGCTAGCTTCAGGGGTGTTTCGATGTCCATATACACAGAAGACCCCAACATCAATAACAGCCGATACAATGGAAGTGTGTGGATTGGCCAGAATTGAGGAGCTGAATACAATGTCAGAAGGTTGAGGAATGCTGATGATATGCGAGGCACAGCAATCAAACTGATCAGCTCTGAGTTGCTGAGGCTGGAAGACATTGACAAAAAGGAACCACAGCCAAGCTTCCCACTCATTCTTTCCTTGACCAAAGGGATGGTGAGTCCCAAAATCCTTTCACAAAAGATGAAGGCACATCATCCTTTGACAAAAGGGATGTGAAGAGGTTGAAAAAGGAAGTGGGTGAAGTGTCAATGGCTTCTGAGGGGTATCCCAAATGCTTCAACAGTCCAGGCACAAAGACTGAGCAACCCTTGCCAAAAGGGGATGCTGAAGAAGACCCAAAGGAAAAGCGACCCTTGTCAGAAGGGGAGCCTACTCAGCCTTCCTTCGTGAGAAGAAAGCTTGGGCAAGCTCTTCCTGCGCAACGGAATGATGAAACTTTCACAGAGCAAATGGGTCTGGTTGCAAAAAACAGCAGGCAAATTGAAAAAACAAAACAGTACAAAAGGTGACCACACAGGAAGCTCTTGAAAACCCCAGGTCGAACCATCCTGGGTCAAAACCTGGAGCCCTGGTTCAGTAGGTCAACCGCTCGGTATCCTTCCAGCAGCCGTCAAAGATCCAGCCGCGAAGACTCAGTCAGCTGCCATCGAAGAAGAAGTAAAGGCTTTTGAATGCATCCTTCACTTTCGGCTTTGGCTTTTCCACATAGTTCATTGTCATTTCTCACATCGGATGCACACAGCGCAACCAACATGGCTTTCGCTCGCACACAAAAGGCTTATATATGCCGGCTGGAAGATGCACTGCTCCAGCGGGGGTTGGTCATCGGATTTGCGGTGTCTTCGAACCCTTGGTGCCATGACACACAGCCATATGACTTCAGAGGCTCGCCTGGCCCCCTGGCTGTTCTTCATTCCTTCAATCTCGCTGGAACAAGGCGCAGCTGGAAAGGCAAATTCCTACGCAAATCCAATCCATACCCTATAGACGATCCATACGATGGCAAATATGACCAACATTCACCACCCCAAAACCATCAAATGTAGGCAGAACCATGAATCTGTTGGGTACTTCTGTGGCTCCCTGCATTGTCTATA